AGTCGAGAAAGTTGACACTTGATGGGCCCATTATAAAAGAACTTTCAAGTCTTCGTTTTTAACAATATTTTTTTATATTTTAAATAAGCTTTTAAATTGAACAAGTTAGTAAAATATAACTTTTAAAAAAATGATCTTATATAAAGACATTAGTGTATTTTTACATCTATAAGGATAATTTTAAAGATACATCTTAATTTTTTTAATCACAATTAATACTTATTAAGTATCTTTAAAACTTAAAGCTATAGTCAGAGTTTTCATAATTGTTGTTTGAAATAGCGATGAAAATAAAAAATAAAAGATTTTATTTTAAATTTTTGAATACATAAATGGGTGACAAAATTTGGTGGTATTTACTGACTATCAGTAATTCAAGATCACGCTCCAGTTTTCGAAAATTACTTTCATAATGTCTTTAAAACGTATTTAAAAAGTTTTAAACGTTCTGAAGTTTAGAACGTTTATAAGACTTTTCAACTACGCTTCAAAAACATTTAGAGCATGTTTTAAAGACATTCTAAAATTTAAAACGTTTAGAAGACGTTTAAAAATTCAGAACATGTTTAAAAAACATTCTAAAAAAAAAACTTTTAAAAATCATTCAGAAAGTTGCTGGTTGGGCAGTGATTACAAATTGTGCTAATAAACATAAATAATAAAAACAATATAAATATAAATAATAAACACAATATAAACATAAATAATAAACACAATATAAACATAAATAATAAACACAATATAAACATAAATAATAAACACAATATAAACATAAATAATAAACACAATATAAACATAAATAATAAACACAATATAAACATAAATAATAAACACAATATAAACATAAATAATAAACACAATATAAACATGATTAATAAACAAAATATAAACATAAATAATAAACACAATATAAACATAAATAATAAACACAATATAAACATAAATAATAAACACAATATAAACAAAAATCAAGTAGCACAATACAATAAAATTTATAAAAATGCAAAATGTATTTAAAATTGATTCAGAATAATAAAATAAATAACTTAAATTCAATAAAATTTGGATAAAACTTCGTTAGTATTCAACAGTTTTTGCATCAAATTATTTTGAGACTGATAAATTATCTACTTAAAGTAAAAATTTCCCAAGCTACAGCACCAAAGAATGGCACAAATCGAGAGAACACGTCAATAACACACGTCCATTTGAAGGTTTCAAACAGTTAAAACAATATTTTCCGTATTATCGGAGACTATCTACATTAGTTAAATATGCCAATTTGTTCTTTTAAGTAGATTTTAAAACATACACTACATGTTTAATTGTTTCATAATGACCTACATACTTTTATTTGACATAAAAGACTAATTTACAGTTTTAACTTTTTTTTACATATCGAGTACATTTCTTCTGATAATCAAGTTAAATATTTTAAAAATCGATTCATATTTTTCTGGGAAAACTTTCAAAACCTTATTGATCGATATATTATCAAAACATTTTTTTTTTTGCAATTTCAGTTTCTTCTTATTTTAGTTATCCGAAAACTATAGAGCCTTTATAGCCTATAATTTTAAATGAATTGTTTTTACATTGTAATTTAAATTAAATTGTTTTTACATTGTAATTTAGAAATTAATTTAGGGTTTATACTTGCAAATCATTTGTTAAAATTTTCAGACATCATTTTTGTCATTAAACTCTTTTTCAAGTTTTTCAAATTAAACGATTCATTCATTCCATGCATATCAATGCTTGAATTGAAATGAATGAATGCTTGAATCTTTTTTTCTTACTCTTCTTTTCTGATTATCGGTGCATTTTTTGTTCTCGAATATTAAATTTAAGAGAATAAATTTTTCTTGTCTTCGAATTTCTCCGAAATGGCCGTTGCATTATTTGATTTTATAAAGAAAGAACCACGGGGTTTGAACCACGGATCTTATAAAAAAAGAAAGATCTTTAAGAAAAAAGATCAAATTATGCAGAGTCCATCTGTAACAAACCATCGTTGTCTTCGACCAAAAAATCCTTCTCGGGCGAAGACAAATGGATTTCCTTGCTTAAATTTCATATTTGAGAACAAAAAATTGGACATTTTTCAGAAAAGAAAAGTGAAAATCGGTAATAAATTAAAAATGATGAATTTTTCTGTTGATAATTATTTACTCATCTGTTCGTGCATGTAGTCATCTAGACACTCCTGGCAAGTTCATACAGTCATAAAGGTTAACTTACACAATTAGAAAAATGCAATGTTTCAATTTTTCAAAATAAGATTTATATAAGGGGTTGAGCGGCCATGGCGCAGTGGTTTGAGCGCTTGCTTTAGAAGCAAGAGATTCAGAGTTCGAAGCGAGTATAATTCTGGGTATATTTTGCGCCATCGGTAAGAAAGAAGGCGTAAACTTTCTTGTTAAATGCTCTTCTGCGGTAACTCTGCGGTGCGGACCGCAAAGTTTTCTTGGAGCACCTAAAAAAAAGTTAAATACCTTGGAGAAATATCACATTGCAAAAAGATTGTTAAAATCTTTTTGCGATATGATATTTTTCTAAGATCCTTTATGTTATGATGGTAACCTAATCACAGGCTAATCCAGAATAGCCTATGGTTAGGCTCATAAAGATTAGCCTAACCATATGTATTACTGTAGTATATATTGCTGGTATAAAAATAACCTCTAGCCTGGGGTATCGCGTATAAAATTTTACCCAATACTTACCAGAATCATTGTTTAAAAACTTTTTTATTTTTTAATTTTGTTTAAATAGTATGTTTTAGTGAATTTCAGATCTTTTAAATTAAATGGAAAACTAAAATGGCTTCAATATTGGCAACTAAAGACATTTATTCATCTTTTAAAAACACAGACTGCTTACCTAGTTTCACATGCTTTTATTTTTTTGGAGATATAAAAACAGTTTTCAACTTTTCTCTTATGTTCACATCATGGACGGCGACACGGGTTTCGAAGTGGAGGGGCACAATCGTCTATTTCTAAAAAAGTCCACTATATCTAGAGTTTTTCTTCTAGAAAGACTTCTTGAAAAATTTTTCTTCTAGAAAAAAAGTGAAGGGGGAAGGTGTGTGTGTGGACCACGTGCCCCCCCCCCCCCCCGGCGTTGTCGGCCCTGTGAATTATTAAACTTAATCAAAATTTCAGTGGAAAAGATTTTGTAACTTATTAATTTTCCTCTAAAAAGTTTTGTATCTGTTAGCAGCATTTTAAATTAAGTAAAAAAAAAATAAATAATAATACTATGCGACTTTTTATGCATAATTTAAATATAGTTTTTATTGTAAAAAAACGAAACAAAGAAAAAGATACGGGTTAATACTATAATTAAAATTGTTAAAATGGATCGATTTTAAACAGCATCTTCCAAAATTTATTATAATTATTAAACGTTATGACCCTACTAACGGAAAGTAGGGTATGTTAAAAAATCATCATTATTATATTAAATCAATTATTATTATTATAGTTGTAGCCGTAAATTTACATAGAATGTACACATACAGCGAGCAGGGAAAACACCCCACTATAAACAACCAGTTTTATAAATATTTGTTCCAAACTTATTCCACAACCAGGAGTCTAGTCTATTTTTGAAGGAAAGTACAGTGGAGTACAAAGTTATTTGCTCTGGTAGTTCGTTCCAGTATTTTGCTGATCTATTATACAAATGATTATATCTTGGAAGACAGTTTGGAACATACTCACGCCTTATTTTAGAATGGTGACCACGAGACATGGAGTTAATATATTTTGGTAAAAACGATGTAATAATTTAAAAATTTGGATTAAATCGCATCGAAGGCGTCAAAACTCAAGTGATGGTAGATTTAATCTTTATTATCGGTGTTAAGTAGCCCATGCAGAAGTAAACTACCCCGCTATATATAGTATGAGCAATTAAGTAGCCCATGCAGAAGTAAACTACCCCGCTATATATAGTATGAGCAATTAAGTAGCCCATGCAGAAGTAAACTACCCCGCTATATATATAGTATGAACAATTATAATTTTTAGATCTGAGTTTGTCAGATGATCATTATTAATAAAAACTTCAAATAAAAAACTTAAGTAAAACTGCTTTTTATAATATTATTGTAACTTTAGTTATTTTAATTGTTGGTTTTATCTTTGCCCTTTAGAGGCTATTTGCCTCATCAATACCCTACAACTGCAACTCTTGCATTTAGTTCTCTTGTATACAGCCTCTACAACTGCTAAAACTGTATGGCAAATGAAATGTATAAATTATTTTAAACTTCTACCAAACAATTAAAAAGCTTATACTTTTTAAAGCTGATATTTAAAAAGTATATAAGAAATAGAAATTTACAATTTTTAATAATTTTAGTGAAATAAAATTCCGATCTTCTTATAATTGCTGACTTAATTTTTTTTTTAAAAAAGCTGTCCTCTGAAAATATTTAACACCTGGTAAGCAGATGTATCCAGATCCGCTTTTTTCTATTATTATAGAAGTGAACCATTGAATAAGCCATAAACACAAGCAAAACAATTTCAAAAATTCTCAAAGGTCTCGTAATTTATTTATTTAGCAAAAATATAAAATGTCTCAATTTTTAAAATGCAAATAAAAAACAAAAAACAAAACAACAAAAAACAAACAAACAAACAAAAGCAACAACAACAAAAAAAACAAAGGTAAAAAAAACAAATTTAAAACTTTCAAAACTTCAACTTAAGTTTTATTAACATTATAATTTATTTTAACTATTATAATCATTTTAAACTATTCACTTAGCATAATTAACTTTTCATAAGTTTAATGGTCACATATAGATATTAAAACCAATTGTAATTGGTTATAGCGATGAAATAACTTTTTTATATCAGGAGGTCGAGGAGGTTTAAAAAGGTGATTTAAACAGTAATAAAATAACATTAAGTTATTGAAGACGATCTATAAAGAATGTTTTAGATTTCTTACCCTTGTTGTAATATAAAATAATACTTCAATAATTTATTTCTCTATATATAATTTGTGCAAGTCAAGCAAAGTATAATGATATATTCTATTTTTTGCAGTTCATGATACTTTTATAAAATTTTTAAATTTTTTAACTCTAGCGTTACAACAATTTCTCCGGTATCAACTTCATGAAGTAATAACCTTTTAGTGATTGGTCCATTACCTTCTTTCAATATCGAAGATACGGTCACTTCAGTGCGACCAAGGAAATCTAAAAAAACGCTTGAAAATTAATAAAGAATTTTTTTTGGCTCACTTAAATTTTTCAATGAAATATTTTATTTCGCTTGATTTTTAAATAGAATTAACATTAGGAGAATAGAAATTTATTCTCCAGCTGTTTGCTAAGTAACACTTTAAAAAGTTATACCAAAAACAATTTATATGGTATACGAGATACAATCTCAAGCGAGAAACAGTGTATTGATCATATAGTTTTTTTTATAAGTGAGTTAAAAAATATCAAGCTTTTTTTTTGAAAATGTTAACGTTAACAATTTCTGTTACATTTCTATTGAAGTAATAAGATCAGGAGATAGTCCAATCGACTGCCACACAGTTAGAAAAAAAAGTTTATATAAAAAATTTATCAAAATTCCTAATTATAATAATTATTTTTATCATCAATTTTTATCTTATTTAAAAACCTTTTTTTTTTCATTACTGCTACATGATTGCTATTATTCGAATTTTACATCTGTAGAAAAAATGATTTTAAATAAATTACTTTAAGAAAATCTTCTTAAACTATAAACTTTTCATAGGGAGTAATATATCATTTTTTTATTTAATATTTGATTTTTCTCATATCATAAACTAGGTTAAAATGTATTAAAATTTTTTTAATCTAAAAAAACTTTTAAGTTCAAATATTATGATTGTATGCAAATAACTAAAGCACATATGCCGAATATATTATTTGGTTAAATAATTTAACCAAATAATATATTTGGCATCATTTGCCCAGACAAAATTGTTGAATCTGGTTTAATTGAGACACTTCAGAATTTGGTTTAATTGAGACACTTCAGAATCTGGTATAGTTGAACTACTTCAAATTTCATTGATAAATAAAACTAAAAATTTCTTAAATTAAAACATTTCATTGCTTAATGGTCATGATTATTTTAATATAATATTTTAAGTTTTAAAAATTTATATATAAATCAAAACCAAAAACTTAAACAGTTATCATCTGTGTGTGTGTGTGTGTGTGTGTGTGTGTGTGTGTATGTGTGTGGTGTGATTGATAAAAAATAATAATGTATTTAGAAAGTATTATTAGAATATCAAGATCAAAAAAGTTTATATGATTAAAAAACCACTACCGTTTGGTGAAAAAAAATCTCGATCAAAAACAGATATACACAGAACATCTTTTTCTAAATCTTTTACGCTAAAGATCATCTAAAAAAAATATGTGTAAAAAGTTTGAATATATCATAACAATAATATATCTAAACAAAATATATGTACATATAAAAGTTTTAATATATCATAATTAAATATGTTTAATACAGTTTTATATGTATAATATATATTTATATAAATGTATAGTCTACATATGTATGATAGTTTATAGTTTATTTATGATATTTTGGCAAATGCAGTAAATTAAGAGCATAACACTCTCAGTATATAATAACAAAATAACACCCTCATTTTTTCAAAAAATGTAAATATTCTCATTACTGCATTTAGTGAGGCCAGGGTGGATGTAATACTGATATCTTAATAATGAAAATCATCCTAAAAATTTTTTTTAAATAGTGTATAAATACATACTACATATCAAATCAGAATAAAGTGCCTCAAACCATAATTGATACAAGCAAGCATATATATATATATATATATATATATATATATATATATATATATATATATATATATATATATATATATATATATATATATATATATATATATATATATATATATATATATATATATATATATATATATATATATATATATATATATATATATATATATATATATATATATATATATATAAAATAATGTTCTCAATCATTAATATTAATACAAACACCTAATTAATTTTCTAATTAAAATTCATCAAATTATTTTATAATTAAGATTCATCAAGTAATGTTCATCAAATATTATTCCTAGGATTTTAAATGACACAACTTTGTTTAATACAATTTTGTTTATAGTTGAAGAAGTTGAAAAGTCTTTGATTTGAAAAAGTCATTAACATTTTCCAGCTCACGATTTATTGTAGAGAAAATTGTTTTTATATTGAAGTGTAAATGAAAAACAGTGTCATCTGCAAAAAGAACAAAATAAGGCAATGTTCAAGGATAGGTAGATATCTTTTATACAAATTAAAACAGTAAGGGTTCATTAATAGAACATTGGAGAATTCTAAGAACACTTATTCTTTCCAACTTCATTCCACAGCTTATTTTTTCTAACTTTGTACATGTTGAGGCATAAGATACTTCTTGTCTTCTATTTTTTTAGACAGCCAATTTAAGTTGTTGTTTATTACTCCATATGTTATATATTTTTTCAAGTTGTTGTTTATTACTTCATATGTTATATTTTTTTAAGTTGCTGTTTATTACTCCATAAGTTACATTTTCTCAAGTTGCTTGATTCTGTTGAAATGAAACTTTAAATAAAATCAAAAAAGATGTAAAGTGCCGAAGCTCGACTAATGCTCAAATTCACTCAATGTTAAAATCTATATTTAGCTAAAACCTATGATAAATAAATTAACAAAAAATTACAGTCGAGTTCCATTTTGGATTCAGGTCTTTTGGAATAACCTTTGTCTTTTGCTCTTGAGAACCCATACTAACTTCACAGTAGGGATCGCTTGTACCTAAACATAACATACTTTGTTTGAACACACATATTTCAACATAAAAAAACAACATGAAAAATATAAAAAAAAGCAACGATGTAGAATCAATCACCATTGAAAATTACATTCAAAAACTATATATAACTATATATAAATATTACAAATAAAAACTATATAAAACATATATAACATGCAGGCTAAATAAATTAATATGCAGACTAAAGACCACTAAAACTTAATGTAATTTATTAATAATATATTTATTATATAATTTATTCAACTTTTTATTATGACAACTCTTTTCTTAGTTTGTAAATCTATTATAATCAATGTAATAAAAAATATGTAATTGGATTATGTAAATTTTCTTATTTGTAAAACATAGAATAAAAAATGTCCAAAAAATAATACTTTGCTTACTAAAGTGACTTAAACACTACAAAACGTGGGAAATACATAGCAGATAGACAGCAACTAGACTTGGTGACTCTCAAGTTGTTGTGCGATTGGTTTCCTCACACAATTTTATAAAAGTTTAGAAAGCAAAAAATTTTTTCAGCACCCCCTCCCCCCTGAAAATTAAAATCTTTAATTGATGTTTCAAAACAATCACCAGTGCAACTGAAGGTAGACGGCTTTCCATGTAAAATGTCAAAATTAAATTTAATAAAATTTTTTTAATTAAATAAAAATATTTTTTATTAATAAATCTAAAATGATAAATTATAGGATATACATGCATACGAAAAAAATTTAATAAAACTAAAGTTGTAAATTATTGGATATAAAAAATAAATATCAAAAAAATTATATTGAAATAAATTATTACATTAACATAAAGAGTGATCAAAGCTTTTATGATTTAAAAAAGAATTTAACAAAAAAAAAAAAAATCATAAAAGAAAAAAAATTTTTGAAAAAAATTTAGGTCTGCTGGGATTAGTGCATCCAATACCGATAACATTTTTCAATACCGGTATTTCGGTACTGAATTATTTCAATACCGGTAATACCGGTATAATACCGGTACTATTTATTATTATTTTAATTAATCATAATATGAATAAAATCTCAAATAAATAGTAAAACTTCTTTGACTCAACATGCTATTTTATTTTATATCAAAATTACAAATTTTTCATTTTTCACTTTCTTCTCTTTTGTAAAGTATGCCCGTAAGAAGCATTCAGAGTATCATCTTTAAGAGATGATCGTAATTTTGTGACAATGTTGCCACTTCCTGAAAATCCACGCTCCAATTCGACACTTGTTGGCTTTACAGTTTTCAAGTATTCATATGAATTTTGCAAATATACACCGTGAGTTTTTCGATCTTCGAAAACTACCATCTCATTGCGTATGGTTTTTGATAAGTTATTCGAAACGTTCAATCTTTTCTTATTGTTACATTTCTTATTAATCAAAATTGCCATGTCAAGCTTTTCTTTTAATGACAAGTTTTCAGTGTTGTCAACAGAATCGCTATCAGAAGATACACTGGTGGAAGGATTATAAGCTCGATGACTAAGTCGATCATTCAGTCGAGCAATGGTATTTACAATAGCTGATCCAAGTTTTCGTAACGTTGATGGCCTTTGTGCAGATAGTGCAGTAAGCTGGAAAAAAGTGTACATTGCTCATTGATTCGTCGCACTAAAGTAGCTTTTAACTTAACAGCTAAATCTGTGATTTAGCTGTTAAGTTAAAAGCTACTAACTAATGTTCATGATAAATCCCCAATGTTATTTATCATGAACATTAGTGTTGTATCGGCTAATAATAGTGTTGCATCATTTCGACACAATGCTTCCACAGCCAATTTTACTGGCGCAAGACATTAAACAATATCTAAAATTGAATTGAACTCCTTATCAGTTATTCCAATTTTGGATTTAAGGTCAATCAGCAACTTGCTATTGCAGTTTTTCAATTTCACAAAATGTTCGAGCATAGTGTGTAAGCTACTCCAGCGAGTTTTGGAGTCAAGTATCAATGGAAGACCTTTACCAAATTCCTCTACTGTGTATTTTTTTCAGTTCAATAGGATCATATTTTTCACTCATTACAACTTGAAACCCGCCGGAAAAGTCTTCTTTATTGTCATTGCTTTTGTTTGTGTCATCGTCAGTGCTAATATCCTCATCACTTTCACTGATATTGTTGCAATTGCAGATAACTTTCAAGCTTCTTTTTGCACAAGCTGACGGTATTTTGTACAAAATTTCTTGAACACCCAGTTGATGTATTGTGCATTGTGCCATGCACAATGTACAACTGTTGTTCACAATTACTCAAACGTCTCACTTTCTGAATTACGAAAGCTCCATCAGTAGCAATACACACAATGTCTTCATCATAGTTCAGCATAAACTGTGTCAACACTTTTTAAACTAAATTAATGCATTTTTTTGCAGGCAGTGAACCAACAACTCTAGCAAATCCAAGGCTCCAAAATTCGTCCACGGTGTGAACGTTTACATTTAAATATCTGTGATTTTAAATTGATGTCCATTCGTCGAATGTCAAACTGAATTGCATCTCTTGTGATCGAAGGTTATCAAACTTAAATATTACAGTTTCTTTGATTGTGTCTGTGTATTTTACTACCATATTTTGAATTGTCGTCGCCGATTTTGGAACAACAAACCCACGAACTTGTAGCGATGTTTTCAGCTCTGCTGATGTGACAAATACGCTAAAAGGACAGTCAATCTAGAAAAAACTGATCAAGGACAGTCAATCTAGAAAAAACTGCAGGCAAGCAACTGTCTTGTTGATTTTGTAAGAAGTCGGTGATCTGAGGTTTGGGTTTTTTGGCCGTTGGCAACGGTGCCAATGAAAACGAAACCGATGTCGATCCTGGATCTTGGACCAATTTTCTCTTCAGTAAGTCAATTTTATGGTTAGTTCTGAGATGTGCATGCAGTCCACTGGTACTGCCACCATTTGATTTTATCTCTTTGCTGCTTTTTTTACACTTTGCAAGTTGATTTTCTTTATCACATAGAAAATAAAACCACACAGAATTTTCGTCAACTCGTACGCCGGTACTGAACTCTTTGAATACCTTTTGGGACATTTTATGTGTTTCTGGACTTTAAAGTAAATGAATTCATCAGACATAAAGTATTGATTATTAGTTCTTAATTAAAAGCGCACAATTTTTTTTAAAATAAAATTAATCTGAATTTTCAATTTTCTTAAAGTAATTTTCTATTTGCATTGAGTTAGCATTAGTTTTTTATATTTCCTATTCACATAGCGTATCCACGTGCGTATGGTTAAAATAGTAAACATTCCTGGAATGGAATGGAATAACGGCTGATTTCTATAATGTAATTTCCATTATAGAAATCAGCGTAAACGACTTCAAACTTTTTATTCATTGCGTTAGTGCAAAACACAAACACGTGCTCAGCGAGTGACATAATGCTAATATATAATAAAATAATATATAATAAAAATAATATATAATAAAATCTCTTTAATAGAAGACATAATTTTAATTTTAAATTAAACAAGTTTTATCTTTAATTAAAGATTTTTATCAATAATTTTAGATAAAAAATCATCTTATCACTTTCTTCTCCCAAACTCTTGAGCGAGCGTGATTTCATAATTTTATTTCAAGCTGAACGAACGTTGCTAATTGCGCTTGGAAGTTTAATACCGGTATTAGACTAACCCAATACCGGTATTTCGGTACTTTAAAAAGTCCGGTAATACCGGTATTGGTACTACCGGTATTGGATGCACTAGCTTGGATGTACTTTTAAAGTCAAACTATATTAGCATGTGCAAACAAATTGTAACCACTTGACTAATTGTCTGATGATTACAGGTTACATACCTGTAGGATCAGAAGGATGTAAATCAGCACCCTCCATGATAGTAACAATTAACCGACCAACTTCATTACTGTCGCATACTGATCTGGCTAACAAAAAATAGTATGCAAATATTTAGTTTAAGAAATTTAACCATGATTTTATAAATATTTAGTTTAAGAAGTTTAACCATGATTATATAAATATTTAGTTTAAGAAGTTTAACCATGGTTATATAAGTTCATTGCATCATAAGAAGTAAAAGAGCTCCAAACATAAGTGAAAAAGATTCAATATATTTAAAACAAGATTAAACTATTCATCATCATCATCATCATCATCATCATCATCATCATCATCATCATCATCATCATCATCATCATCATCATCATCATCCTCATCATCATCATCATCATCATCCTCATCATCATCATCATCATCATCATCATCATCATCATCATCATCATCATCATCATCATCATCATCATCATCATCATCATCATCATCATCATCATCATCATCATCATCATCATCATCATCATCATAATTGTCATCATTAAATAATTTTAGCCAAGGTTTAAAAAACAACAATCTAACCTTGGTTTAAAAAAAATAAATCTAGCCAAGGTTTAAAAAACAACATTCTAGTCTTGGTTTAAAAAACAACAACTAGCCTTAGCTAATAAGCGATAATTTTAGTAGTTAAAAATTGTTTGGTACATTTTGTGATTTTTTGTGCAACTTGCTTCTACATAAAAAATGCTGATTGCAACAAAAATTTTATTGAACTCATTGACAAAACATAATTTTTATTTAAAAAACAATGTTTTACAAATCATAAAATTTATGCAATTTTTAAAAATGTTATTTGCCTCCCCAAAGCTAAGATGGCACTACAGTCAAGGAGGCTACTTTTTACATTATTGTGGTTACAATCTTCTTTCAACTCTTTAACTCTGAAACATAAAACCTGACAAACAAGCCGTTGAGCAGACAAACAAATTGAGCCTGATACCATCAGAGGATCAAACTCAGAACTTCTTGCTTAAAAAGTGAGCGCTCTTCCACAATATCACTACCACATTTTGTTTGTATATGTTTGAATGTCTCAAAATGTCTCACTTGATTAAATAGTTACATATTTGAAAAATTGAACTAGATTTGATGTTAAGACAAATATAGAGGACCCTGTATCCCCCCTGTAACACCAAAATATTGTTAAAATCCCCTGTAACACCCCTGTAATAATGTGAATGTGACCACTACACATACCTCTTGTGATTTTACTTCTCTTTTCACGTTCTGTTTCAATAAAAATTTGAGAAGCCTGTTGAATTTTGTTAACCCAAGTATTTCTGAAATTATTAATCAAAAAATCATACTGCATGTTCAATAAATATTTTTTACTTTTAAAATAAAAGCTAAATTTAATTTTATATAATAAATAATAAAACCTTTCCATCTTGCTTGGAGCCCGAAACGAGTAAACGCAATCAATATGAGAAAGGTGAAAAAGAGTTTCGTTTACTAAAAAAATTTAAGTAATGTTTTAAAACATTTATTTAATTGGTTTTCTTACATCACAATATTTATTTTGTATTGCTTTAACTTTTTTTATAACTTACAATAACATTGTGCAATTAAAAACTTAAAGTAACAAAATCTAGATCAATATTGTTAAAAAAAAAATCATAGTTGTTAATAATTGTAAAAAAAAGCTACAAAACTAATAATTTTATCTTAATTTAACTTCACTATACTAGAACAATAGTTTCATTTTTCACTAATTTCATGACCATTTTTCACTAATTTCATGACCATTTTTCACTAATGCAATTAAAATAATAACTTGACCAAAAATAAACTTGACCAAAAACTAAATAATTTCAAGACAAATAATTTTGAAATAACGCAACTAGATAATTTCATGACCAGAAACAAAGCAACAATGCTTATTAAAAGGACCCTTTACAAAAAAATAAAAGGTTTGTAAATCATTAGAATGGAACATCTATGCAATCAATAGATATGGAATGCACACACACACAAACACACACACACACAAATTCTAAAACATGACATCTTTTTTGATGACTTTTGATGGATGTTTAATAAACTGCATGTGGTTGTAAAAAAAAATTTCATCTTCCATAAAAACTTAGTTAAAAACTTGCACAGTAAAAAGAAACTTTATTACCTCATAAAATGTTTACTTTTTGCTAAAGTTTGGTCAGAATAAAAACTTTAGCTGAATAAGTCATTTAGACATTCGTTTTAGAGTATTTTGAATTGAAAATTGGTCCATATTTTGTTTTAAAAACTGTATATTTTGGTGTTGAGACTTTTAATAAAGTCTCATCATCAATATCTACAGTTGGAAACTGTAAAATCTAACCATAAATATATCTATGCGGACCTTAAAATATTTTAACAAAAAAGTAAAATAAATGGACTATAATTAATTATTCAAAACCCACCAAACTTTAAGTACAATAATAAATCTACAGCTAGAAGTCCAAGTTTAATTTAATTTAAAAAAAAACGTTTTCATAACACTTTTGGATATTTTTGTGATGGCAATAATATATGTTTATCAAATACTAAAAATATGTAACGTTTTTTATATAATATATTTAATATTTGTTTTTAAAACATAAAAATAACAACAATAACAGCAAAAATAACAATAGGGAAGAGTGTTGTACCTCTGAGAAATTTTTAAACTTTTACAAATAATAATAAAAAAAAAAATACTTACAATATGTTCTGCAACAATATATTTTTTTTAACTTGATGATATTAGTTACTCTACAATTTTTTATTAAACACCCAATCATATTTTTATTTATCACACCCAATCATATTTTTATAGATCACACCTAACCATATTTTTATGTATCACACCCAATCATACTTTTTCATCTTGTTTTTTTAATTTTAAAAAATAGCCTACACTACAGCCAAGGTACATCATCGGTGGTGTACCTTGGAGGTATTTATATTTTACCTTAGTATTATTGTTTCAACAGATTAAATACTCAACATGGTAGAAATTTGATATAATGTTTATTTATAGGATGGTTGGACTTCAAATCACCCTCATTTAAGATAATATTAATCAAACTATTTAGATTTATATAAACTATATATTAATTGATATAGAAGTATCAAAACATCTATATAGATTAATATATGGTTTAAAAACTTAGAAGTATCAAAAACTTACATAAAAAATAAAGTTTATTATAAAAAGTGCAATAACAAAAAGTCTACACTAAGGTTTAGTAATTTTAAGCCACTTTGATTTAGCATTTATCTACATTCAGGTAATCAAAGTTAATGCCAAATTATAGTTTTTCCAGCTGTTATGCTGAATCTCCTGTAATAGAGGGATGTTGTAACTGAAAGACCATGTCTGATTTGTCCAACTCTTAGACAATTTATCTTCTCTTGTAAATCTTTGAGTTTGTGTTCTTTTTCAAATACTGAATTTTGAAAAATGTGTCAGCAACTTCTAATAGCTCTGCTACAAAGTTTTTAAGAGCAAGTTTACCTTGAATTTTGAGCCAAGATCATCCAGGCTGGATTTTTTTAAAATCTGAATCTTTCATAATTACAAAGTCTACTTCTGACTGAGCAGATACTTTGTCAGATACTAAATTTACATTATCCTCTAAATCTGTACTTTGCTCCAAGGTAAAGCTCAGCCTTTTTTTTCAAAACAGGTACTGGTTGTTTATTATCAATTTTGCCTTTCATTTTATTGCCAGATTTTTTTCTTTGTTTTCTCAGCTTTTTCTTTTTTAATTTAAAGTGTTGAAGCTGGAATTAAAATGCAAGATTTTTTACCGGGGTTGAGCTTTTGAGTAAGGTAGAATAATATCTGGAGACACAATGTAAGCGCTTATCTGGTCTGCAAAAGAAGCAGGACTGCAGCTTGTCACCTCAGTATCAGTCGAGGGCCCAGGTTTGCTCAAAACGTCTTTAGACGCAGGTTGCAGTCGATCTGTTATAGTGGAATTCTGTGTGAATATTACTTGGAGTAAAAACTAAAAGAAAAGCTTGTCCAACAATTTCTGATACATCATAGATTGTTGCTGGTATGGCATTGTCTGGTTTTAACATCTAATTCTTCATTTTATTGTTGTAATAAGTCTTATATAGACTAAATATGCCTCTGTCTAAGGGTTGCATTTTGTGAATAGTGTGTAGATAACTATTACCATTGTAATCCCATTATATTTTGCCAGCTTGATTGTTGGTATTGACATATGTTTCTCATGGTTCTCAAGTAAAAGAATAGAAGGATTTTCTTTACTTGAACAAGTATGCTTTACAAAATGTTTCATAAATCCTCGAAACAAATTTTCACTTGACCATCACGATGGGTTTGCTCCACCAAATGTACCTTCTGGGGCTCCTATTAATATAAAATCCTTAAGGTTCTTACAAGGAAAATCAACATTGGAAGCATATAGCCACCTCCAACATTTATTGCTCCAATCATTGTTATATTATATACTTGTTCACCACTAGTCATTCCACCAACCTGGTTTTGAGCTTTTTTTGTTAAGATTTTGGGACAGTGCTAACTGGTTTTGTCAATATTCCATATGTTAAATGCTGTAATACCTTGATTTTTTTCAACCCCGAGAGCTACTTTATAGTTCTGAAAAGTAAGTACTGCTTTTTCTCTATTAATAGCAGTTGAGTGTGCCAGACTTGTTGCCTCAGGCTTTCTAAGAGATAATTCTTTAGAAATTTTTTTTTTTGTGAAGATTTTCAGCAAATCTTTTCCAGCCATTTGGTTTCTATCCCGAGATACATCACACTTTTTTTTATTTGCTTTCCTGAATTGGTTAGCCAATTTTCGAACATCTTTCAAAGTCAGTCCATACTGAAGATCAGCAGTTTTTAAAATGTAATCAACTAAAAGATTTTCTTCTACAGTGAAGATTTGCTTAACGTTGTTGTTTTTCTTGTAACAAAATTTTTCTAAACTTCAAGGAAGTTGTTTCTGTGTGGTCTTAAGGTTGTTTTTAGGAATAAGTCCATAGAAGCTAGCTAGCTAGCTAGCTCTCTCTCTCTCTCTCTCTCTCTCTCTCTCTCTCTCTCTCTATATATATATATATATATATATATATATATATATATATATATATATATATATATATATATATATATATATATATATATTTTTAAATATTTTCTTTTCCAACAAAGCTTTTGCACATTGTCTAAAAGAGAAAGGGCATCATTAGAAGATCTGCCATTAATCAGTATTCCATACAAGGCCAGATTAAGATTTTTAGAGATAGATAATAGAATCCAAAGTAAGAAAGTGGCGAGCTTGATAAAGAGATATCTGTATATATACACTTTATTGTTCACTATAAGTCCATAGAAGCTCTGTATATAGACACTACACTGGTCACTATAAGTCCATAGAAGCTCTGTATATAGACACTACACTGGTCACTATAAGTTTTACAGCTCTTTCTATGTTTTCTTTTCATTTAGGATTTTTTGTTTTAAATTCATTTTCTTTTAAATTCATTCTTACTTCTAGGCATTTTTATTTTTTATTTTTTTGTTTTTCTAAAAATGATTGAAAAACTATTAAATATCTGTACAATTAATTTTTCATATTTTACTTTTAAAAATTACAAATGCTCTTATCAGTATTTAACTATTTTTAATTACTAAGCTATTTATTAATAAGCTTATTACAAAAATAATTACAATTTATTACTATTATTATTAAAAAAGTTACTTTTTGGTACCAGAAACAAACTTTTATTTTTATTGCAACAACAAATGTGTCAAGCAATTTTAAAAAAACTTATTATGAGCCTCTAATGGCCAATACATGTAAGTAAAACTTCATCATCACTTAAGATGTCAACACAATTAACATGCCTCCAAGGTACACCACTCTCCCCTACTATACAGACTTTTACAACAAAAATAAAACAATAATTACTTTCTGGGTCAGTGGGCAGCTTTACTGTAATTTCGTTTAAAAAAATTGCCTAAAAGTGTAAAAGTGTAATTTTTTATCAAAAGTTGAAAAACATTGAAACTCAATGCAATGAATAAGTTAAATAACTACAAATAAAAAATTATATATATAAAAAAATCTATTCAAATAAATAAATCTGCATGGCAATAAAAATAACTAAAAAGATTTAAAACAAATAAAAGAAAGAAAAAAATTTCTTTTTTACCTTTTTATATATAGTTAACTGCATACCACTGTCAGGATGGAAAACAGTTAATAAGGGTTTCGATTGAAAGTGTGTATTTTGGAGACGACACAGCAGTAAGAAATCATTAAATAAAAATACTCTAAGTTCTTTGTTGCTTTTATGCTGAATTAAAAAAAATATATATATATATATACATAATCTAAACCGTTTTCGAAAGCGTCGACCGTATTTGGGCGCCACCCAAATAAAAATTTGAGGACTTTTTTTCATTTTATGTTTTTAAAATTTTTTCAAAGTTGACTTATTGAAAAAAAATTTTAAAAATTTTATCAAAATGATAAAATTTTTGAAATTTTATCAAAAGCTTTATTTTTTTTATGTATGTGGTATTTTTACATAAACCATATTTTAGTTCACACTTAAATTAAGCCCATCTTTTAGTGTGGTAAAGTTCATATTTCAGAAAAAAAGGGAGAAAGCATCAGTTTTAAACATAATAAAAGTTGGTACTAGAAATAGTAGTCTTCAAATAGCTCAGTATAATAGCCATAATAATAATAATAATAATAATAATAATAATAATAATAATAATAATAATAATAATAATAATAATAATTATTATTATTATTACTATTAATAATAATATTAATAGTAATAATAGCCATAAAAACAAATATTTTATTTCATGTAATGTAATAACACAAAAACTATAGATTACTTTGTGAAGGATTCCATGATAAACATATTTCCGCTGACCTAAGCAGTTCGTTTGAGAGTTAAAAACCAAGTCCTGAAAGCGAAGTTTTTTTTTGCATTTAATATAAAAATGTAAGAAACAATCTTCACTCTTTCATATATGCTTTTACTGTTGTTTTTTTAATGATATATGCTTTTAGTGCTGTTTTTTTTATCACATATGCTTTTTCAGGTGAGAATGTGTATAAGACTCAAAAAATATACAAAAATTAAAAAAAAAATCTATTTAAAAAGATTTATTACAACTAATAAAACATACCACAGAAAAACTTTAAAATATTTACAAAATATTTTTTATACCTCTTCTAGACCTGCAAGGTTAACTCTCTCCTGCAACCATTCTAACCGACTTGAGTTTTCTTGAGAACGCACTGCTTCATTAACCTGTAATTATTAGAAAATTAATTATATGATCAAGTTTAAAATTAAATGAACAGAAAAGAAAAGACAAAATAATATAAATCTTGAAGTTGAAATGGTTACTTGAATAGTGCCACACTTACTTGGATATAAAGAGGACCATGCATGCATTGTTTATCTCTATATATTTACAAAGCATTCATTTGCAAATTCAAAATGTTAAAACTATCACCAAATGACTATATAAATTAAATTCATATTCTTAATAGATTTTTTTAAACACGCCACATATATAGTTAAGCCAAATAATTCTCTTTTCATTTCAAACTCTATATATTTTCAAACTTTATGCATTTTAATTTATTTTATCCTATAAAATTAACAAAGATGCGACATCAAGTTTAAAAAATTTTTCATCTTTTATCAAAAAATCTTTAGGAAAAAGTATATAAAATTTAATAAAAATACTATTAAGTGAAGTTGAAATTATATTCTAGTATGGCTACTTATTTATTCAAACTGTATTCAGTTCATTATAACTATTTATAGTGCAAAATTGTATTTATAATACATTCTTCTTTTTAATAATACTTTTTTATAAAAAGATTTTTTTTGGAACTTATTTTCCAGCAGATTTAAATAATTGCGATGATTTTTTGTCAAATAGATTTTTTTCTATTATTTACATTGCATTGTTGTCTTTTTGTCACTTATACTCCATTATGTTTTTAAATTACTCTCAAATTACTGTAACTAACATTTATAAAAATAAATATGCAGGTAGTTGATGATTGATTGAATCTTGATACAAATGGAATCTTTATTACCTGAAAAACTAGGGTGCAAGTCACCCCGCTTCATCACATTTTAAAAACCTGTCACCCCTGTTATATTTTAAAAACCTGAATTAACTTACTAAGCAACAAAGTTAGATAATGATTTAAAATCCATTTTATTTTTGTTATGAATTAACAATCTTTTTGTAAAACCTGGTAAAATAGAAACAAATTTCAAATAAATTATAGATACCTGAGTGCACAATTCTTCAGCTTTTTCATGGGAAGCAAGAAGATTTGCACGATCATAATGTTCTTCAGGAGTATACTTTAAAATCTTTAAGAAAGTTAAACAAGAAAAATGAATACAAAAAAGCTATTTATATTCAAAACATAAACATATTAGAATTTATTTTTTAATTTTAGATATGTATTTATTTTAAATAAAGATGAAAAATATGTCAGAAAACAAAGCTAAGGGATATATATATATATAAAAAAATTTAGATTACATAGAATTAGAAACAATTTAGACTGGGTAATAAAAAGACATGGAACAAAAGTTTACAGAAAAATGATATCTAAACTTATTTAACAGACATTTGTTTAAAAATCTTTTTTAACTATTTTAAAGTTACAATTAAAAATATATTACTTATCTCTATAAATAATTTAGTAAAAAAAACTTATTATAAATTTATTATTATTGATATTGATACTATTTCAAACCACTTTTTGGCAAAGTTTCAGACAATAATTGTGCTGAAAAATTTATCTAAAAATCAAAATATGGCATAAGTAAGGAGTCATCGTGTGTTCCCAAGGTTTCAAAATTTACTTGATATTTATTATATCATTGAACAACATATATGCTACAAAATTCCACAACATTAACTGTGCTATATGCATTCCTCATCATTATACCACACCATTATACCACACCCTTAAACCACATCATTATACCACATCATTATACCATTATGTGCCATGTCTTGATGTTTCATGCTTTATGCATCATGTCTTGATGTTTGATGCTTTATGTGTCATGTCTTGATGTAAAAATGCGTTATGTCTTAATGTTTAGGCGCTTTATGCTTCATGTCAAAAATACATACAAACAAAAATGAGTACAAAAAAAAATTTAAACAAATAATTTACAAACAAATTATTTACCCCTGAAATAATTAATGGATACTTTGTGATGCGCTGCAATGGCTTTAACAAGTAACTACTCAAAGATAAATTTTGTTTCAAACGACTGTCACCAGCACATTTCTAAAATATTAAACACAAAAATTTTTTTATAATCTAAATTTCAAAAGAAAAACATTTTAGGGTACATCGACTTACTTTTTCAAACTGCTTAAACTCAGCATCTTTTTCTACTTTATCTTGAAGAAGGCGACATGCTTTAGACATGCAACTGCAGAAACGTATGTATGGACTGAAGTGAGGTAACTAATAACAAAAACAAACAAACAAACAATCAAACTGAGGTAACTAATAACAAATTATAAAAAACAACAATTTAAGTTTTTTAAATTAATGCAAATAAACAAATAGTTGATCATGATAAAAATACTACTTTAAACCGTTACATAAAAAGTTCTAAAACTCAAACTAAACTAAACAAAAATAACTTTTTTAAACAAAATCAAAGGAAACTGAGTGAATAAATATCTGTAAGAAAATTAAAAAAGATTCGCTGGTGAATAAATATCTGCAAGAAAATTACAAAACAGAAAAACATTTGGTAGAGAACTACAGAACAGGTTTTAAACCAAAGAATGAAGTTAATCACACTTTCACAGTTTTAATAATTGCTTACAATGCATTAAAAGTAAAATTAAGATATGATTACAAATAGAAAGGTTAAGGATTTTAAATATTTTCAAAACTCTCCACACAAATGAAAAGATTTTTTGTTTAATCCTCTTATGATTTTTTTTTTTTTTAATCTTCGCTTCAAACAAGACTGCAACAAGGAAGAAGGCTTCCAACAAGGTTGCAACAAGGAAGAAGGCTTCCAACAAGGCTGCAACAAGGAAGAAGGCTTCAAACAAGGCTGCAACAAGGAAGAAGGCTTCCAACAAGACTGCAAGCAACCACTAATTAGTGTTGGAAGTTACTGGAAGAGAAAAGATGAAGATTGTAGAGCAAGATAACAATTGACAAAATTTTGAGCTGTCCCTCATTAGGAGATAATAGAATGAGTTGCCTAGTTATAAAAACAGAGACACAAGCAAAACCCATGCATCGGGTCAAGAAGATTCAGCATTCAACATCCTAAACTGGAAACAATGTATTAAAAATACATCTGCGCCAGCCTAATAGATGAAGTAAAAAGAATCACGACACACAGTGAGGACATATGTATAGGACAAGGTATGACACTTGTGTAAGGTTTATATGCAAAGGTTAAAAAAAAATTGTTAATAGAACCAGCTTAATATATTGCAGTGTAACATAAGCAATGAAGGTTTAGATGCAGTTAAACTAAAATTAGAAAAAAAAAAAAAGAAAAAGTTTCAAGTTAATTTTTTGAAATTATAATATTATTTATAACAAAATTACGATAAAAATTCATAAAAACTTTACACAAAAAATTTCTATAACTCATTATTGTACCCTATTCAACTTCAAGAGTCATTATCACTCTTTTACAAAATTTGACAAGTCATCATAACTCTCTTTAAATCATTAATTTTGATTTAAAGAGTGACAAAAGTCATTGTCATACTCTTTAAATCAAAATTAATGAGTCCTCATTTCGCTCTTTTATCTAAATACTATTTAGTTAATACAAATATTATGACAGCATAGTTATGTAAATAAGTTTAAAAATTCTACTTGTTCTATAAGAATATCACCAATAGCTTCTATCTTATCAGTTGCTGACATCTTTTTACGAACAAGCATTGCTCTATAAAAAAGTCATTACAAAATTTAATTTCACATAAAAACTAAAAAACTCTGGATAGGATAAATCTAATTAAAAGGGCTTTTATCAGCAAAGTTAACATGGTTGCATCTTTATGATGCAATCAATTTATGATGGCATCATAAAGATGCAAAACTTTGGAAAAAAGCAATAAATAGTACACAAACTTATAAGATTTACTCTCGCTTTGTAGCAGCAAATTCTAAAAATTGATTTAAAAAATGACATTAATAAAATTGAAAGTATTAACTGTTGTTAAACAAAAAATTGTTTTTTGATTGTAAAATTTATGAGAACTTACAAAAACCTGCAAAAGATTTAATTAAGTTGATTGTAAAATTTATGAGAACTTACAAAAACCTGCAAAAGATTTAATCAAGTTGATTGTAAAATTTATGAGAACTTACAAAAACCTGCAAAAGATTTAATCAAGTTGATTGTAAAATTTATGAGAACTTACAAAAACCTGCAAAAGATTTAATCAAGTTGATTGTAAAATTTATGAGAACTTACAAAAACCTGCAAAAGATTTAATCAAGTTGATTGTAAAATTTATGAGAACTTACAAAAACCTGCAAAAGATTTAATCAAGTTGATTGTAAAATTTATGAGAACTTACAAAAACCTGCAAAAGATTTAATCAAGTTGATTGTAAAATTTATGAGAACTTACAAAAACCTGCAAAAGATTTAATCAAGTTGATTGTAAAATTTATGAGAACTTACAAAAACCTGCAAAAGATTTAATTAAGTTGATTGTAAAATTTATGAGAACTTACAAAAACCTGCAAAAGATTTAATCAAGTTGATTGTAAAATTTATGAGAACTTACAAAAACCTGCAAAAGATTTAATCAAGTTGATTGTAAAATTTATGAGAACTTACAAAAACCTGCAAAAGATTTAATTAAGTTGATTGTAAAATTTATGAGAACTTACAAAAACCTGCAAAAGATTTAATCAAGTTGATTGTAAAATTTATGAGAACTTACAAAAACCTGCAAAAGATTTAATCAAGTTGATTGTAAAATTTATGAGAACTTACAAAAACCTGCAAAAGATTTAATTAAGTTGATTGTAAAATTTATGAGAACTTACAAAAACCTGCAAAAGATTTAATCAAGTTGATTGTAAAATTTATGAGAACTTACAAAAACCTGCAAAAGATTTAATTAAGTTGATTGTAAAATTTATGAGAACTTACAAAAACCTGCAAAAGATTTAATTAAGTTGATTGTAAAATTTATGAGAACTTACAAAAACCTGCAAAAGATTTAATTAATCAAGTTGATTTTGGTTGCAGAAGTCGTAGCTCACAAAATTCCTGAGATTTTTAAAGATCTAACTAAAAAGTTGATTATTCAATTTTTTTTGACTAATCTAAAGCTTGAAGATACTTTAAAGGTTGATTTGAAAATGGACACTTGTTACATGATTGCTGTATGTTTTTCTATAGTTAAAAGTTTCATGAATTAAATGATATCACAAAACACAGGTGAGCATAAGCCATATACAAAAAGGCAAGATAAATTTTCCATATTAAATCAGGAGGGATACCATATGATGCCAGGTAATGGATAGCAGACATTCCAGGGTAATATTTTTGATGAATATTTTTGAAGTGAGTGTTTCACTTCACACCAATATGTAATGTCGCACAAAGGAGTTTGAGTTAGGGTTGGGTTTCTAACTTACTAACAGTAACAAAACGGAAAAAACACATACTGAAACTTTTTAGTCCCTGTGTAATAAGTATTGAAACCTTTAATAACGCTAATTATTATAAAACGCTATAAAAATATTTACATTTTGTATTGCAAATAATATTATTGATTCATAACAATGGTGGTCTAAAACTGTTCAGGGGAAATTAAATTTTAAAATAGAGCATGCTAATCAGATTGATGAAATGATGAAAAAATTTTTTTAATTAGAACTTTAAATTTTTAAATTAGAATAAAATTTCTGATTTAGAAAAAAAAATTAAGTCTATGGAAGAGAATTCCGCAGATTTCCAACCACTTAAAAATTCTAGATAGTTTACAGCTAGCGGAGTGAGTAAAAAGCGATCACCAGAGCAACTATTGGTAGTAAATGCAGCTGTCAATGAACAAAACGATAGAAATATAAGAGCCAAAAATGTAATCATTTATGAAATAATTGAGTTAGACTATTCTTTTCAATCTGAAAAAATTGAAGATGATAATAAAAAAATTGCATTTATATTATAATATTTATTTAATAATCTTAGAGCCGAGGTTAAAAAAAATAATGTGAGATTGTGGTCAAAAAAAAAAAAAAAGAAACACCAATTTTAGTTTAATTAGAAAATTCCAGTATGGAAACCTTTTTTTGTATCAATCGAAAAAATTAAATAACATCAGTAACCTTAAAAACATGTATATTTCACTAGATCTTACTGAAGCAGAGAGAATGTTAGATTTTCAATTAAGACAAAAAAAAAAAAAAAAGCTAAACTCTCAACTTGCTGCTAATACTACATTTTGATATGCTAACTATGGAAATTGACAAATTTAAAAAACTAAAAGCTGATTGACCACATTACATGTTTATATATGAATGCAATTTCATTAAATAATAAAATGGAGGAGTTCAAGCTATTATGTAGTGATGTAAATCCATGCATTATCGAAGTAATGGAAACTTGGTTCAGGAAGACTTTGACGCAAATTTAGATAGTTACTTTTGTATAGAAAATATTGCAAGGATGGTAGAATTGGCAGTGCTGTTGCAATATACATAGTTAACAATTTTGTATCTTATCAAGTTGAAGATAAAATTCTAAGTTCTGACAAAATTGAGTAAATATGGGTTGCATTTGTTATCTGTAATGATAGTTATTTATTATGATGTATATACAGACCAAATGAAATAGTTGATTTGGAAATCTTTAATAAGATATTTGAAACTGCAAGATCATATGTTGATAAACGCAATTTGAATGGTATTATAATTATGGGGGACTTTTATTTTCTAAACATTAATCCAAAGGTTTTATCAAATTGATTAAAAACAATGATAGCTCTCATGAATACAGATTTTATAATATTTTGAATGATCACTTTTTCATTCAGCATGTTTCTTTTGCAACATTTCAATTATCGAACAATGAATGACTTAACACTCTTGACTTATTATTTACAACGCAAGAGAATAGATTATTCCAAATTGAATCACATCCAGTTGTAGAAAATATTAAAAGAGGGCACTTAGTTCTAAGTTACAAAATTGTGTTAGATCAGAAAAGTTAGATCAGAAATCCTTTATAAATGAGGAAGTAATTGTACAAGATTATAGGAAAGCAAATTTTGATTTAATTAATAGATTATGATTGTAGATTGGTTAACATGTTATAATGGCAAATCAGTCCAAGAAATGTATAATATAGTTATATTTTACATAAATGCAGTGTATAACTATACATTCCAATTAAAAAATTATATATTAATAAAAAAAGCGAATATTTTGGATAAACAATGATCTTAAAAAAAAGACTACTGATAAAACTTAAATACTATGAAATTATTGGTACATTGTTAAAAAGGATTGAAGCATTTAAAAAAAAATAGAAGAAGAAGAGTTGTCATGGGAAAAAGTGTCTCATCTCGAAAGGTTACATTTAGTGGTGTGATGCAGGGCACAGTTATTGGCCCTTACTAGTCCAACAAATGGCTATTAAAGTTTAATTTTGAAAAGTGTTTGATAATGCACTTTTGTAAAAATAACCCAATAAGAACTTATTTTACGCAAAATATAACTTTAAGTACCACTGATGCAGAAAAAAATCTCGGTGTAGTATTTACCTCTGAATTGAAATAGAAAAATCAATTAACTCTATGTGCAATTAAAGCAAATAAAGTTTTGGGTATGCTGAGGAATACATTTTTAAGTTTAAATAGTGAATTACTAAAAATTATATACACAACTTTTGTAAGACCATTAATTGAATTTGCTGTACTTGTGTAGTCTCCATATCTTAAAAATGAAATCAATCTCTTAGAAAAAATACAGCATTGTGCTAATTATCACCACTAAAAAATCTATGTAATGAAAAAAGATTTGATAAAATGGGTCTCAATACTTTAGTTGTAAGACGGTTTCGGGGTGACGTGATTTAAATGTTATTCAATGGAATAGAAAAAGTAAATTTCGGTCACAGCTCAAATATATTACTATTAATATTACTAAATATTGGCAAACCTTTGTTGCCTTTTATAGAGAAATCAATCAATTGAGTTTTTGTAACATTGAATTGCATTTAACCAACTTAGAAAATTATTTTTGAGTCTGACATGATGAAATAGTGAAGTTTGCACAGCATGCAACTTTAAGAGACTTTTGGATTGGTCAAGGACCAACATACTATTGACAACTATGGCAAAGAGGAATGGTCTGAGCAGACTCTTGTAGTCTGTGCTCAGTCCACTAGTGGTATTAATCCAGGGGCCAGAAGTTGGAGAGACACTGGAACAATGACCTTTTAAGATTTTATCAAATGCTTTTTAAAATCAACACTAATACATTGAACATACCCACCTGAAGTTAAGAGTTTGTTTAAATAACTACCATTAGCAGAGTGTTAGTTGTACCATTATAAGGATCAGACACAAAAGCAAATTAAAAGGACTAAATTTTTTCTTAAAGAAAGGAACTAACCGCTTAAGTCCAATCTTCTCTAATACCTTTGCAGTACTTCAAAGAATTGAGACAAAATTCACCATTTTTTATTAGAATTACAAGAGCATTTTTTTCCATGCAGATGGAAACTTATATTGAGCAAAGCTTTGATTGTAGATAAGCATTAGGGGGACAGCTAAAATGGTGCTGTAATCTCTTTGGGTTGTTCCTGGGATGCTGTCTGGTTGACTAGCTGATGATTTAATTTTTGTTAATACTTGGTACACATCATATTCATTAGTCGCATGAAATGTCGCAGGATCATAACTGTTATTAGTGATATCAA